AACACTCATTACTCCTCTTAGCACCTTAAAACCTATTTTTCCTAATTTAAGGCAGAGTGCCCATTACAAAGGAGCTATAAGATTTCCCTTTGTCTAGTGCCTAAACCCAAGCTTAGCAACTTATATAAATTATTTTACGCATAAAAGTGTTCTCACTTTGCGAAACAGTATCTCCGAACGTATACCTCCTTTGAAAATGACCAAAACTAATGTTAAGGCCATACAAAAGAGCTATCTTATTTTATTTTTTATTTCACTAAAACAAAGGTTCATACACCTTAGAATATTATTCCACGCATAAAAGTATGCTCGCTTTGGAAAACAGTAACTCCAACACATACCTCCTTTGAAAATGGTCATAATCACATATAAGACCCAAAGAAAGAACTTATTCATTTTTCGTTTTATCTAACCCAACTAAAGGTTTAAATATCTATTCATATAGTCTTTAGACCATATAAGTGCTCACTAGCACAAACAAGCACTCTTAAAACATACTTTCTTTGTAAATGGCTAAGAGGCACATAAAGGAAGCCATGTCAATTTCATGATTCCAATGCTTTAGTATAACTTTTGATACAAGACTTAGCCTTCTTAATTCATTAATTAAGTCCACAAACAACCTCGGCCCCTATTTTAAAGACACTAGGTCAATACATATATAAAGAGGAAAAACAAGATTTTATTTCATTTTCTAATCATTGAATCATTATCCAATCAATTCCAATGCATATAAGAGTTATCTTAACCTCATTAAATACTTATAAATTCACTTCCACACCCTTTGTCATGTCTAGGGCAGATTTACCCTGATTTAAATCTCACTAAAATCTTGAAACCTACAACCATTTCATCACTTAATTCATCATAGTTTTAATTCTAATTTTAAGATTCCTCTTGGACAATTTTACAAACACTTAGAGTGCATATTTTTACACCCCATGGTTGAACCATATAGGGTTCTTCAAAGATCATTTACAACTTTTATTCACAACCAAACTTGCTTTGACAACCTCACCACCATAATCAATTATAAATCATACTCATTTCCATCAAATTTAAATTTAAGAATCAAAAGCTTTCTCACAAAAATAATACTCATGAAAACAAATCATGAAGATCCAGAATCTAGCCATAGGAAATGGGGCATCTTACCTTGAATGACTCCTAGGCACTCAAAGGATTAATCTCCAAGCAAAGAATCACTCAAAAATTTAACATTTTTCCATGGAGATGAACAGTACCGCGAGCTACCATGGAGGGAATTTCTCACTCAATATTGCTTCCCAAGGTGAAAAGAGCTATGAGTTTTCTTTCTAAGGACCTAAGGAGCAACTTTCATGTTGGGACTTTTTGAATTTGATAAGTGTAAGATGGTGAAAAGAAGAAGAAAAGGAAGACCACACTATGCCCTCCTCATGGGGTTGTCCACGATCTGCATATGAAGGGAGGAAGGAAGATGGAGTTATGTTTTGTCTCTCCTAGTGTCATTTAAGTGGAAAAATAGAATATATGTTTTTTACCTATTTAATTTACATTACTTACACTTAATCTTACAAACTTAACATATATTACATTTTTTTGTCATAAAATAACTTATTTGGCATGAATTGAATTTTTTTCTCATTTTTGGCAAAATACCCGGCAGAAGTCACTGTTCATAACCTAGTCATAATTACAGTCAAAACACTGGAAATCACGTTCTGAATCTAATTTTGACATTTTAATCCTTAAATTAAATCTCTAACTAAGATTTACCAGTTGTGGTCATTATAAAAAACACATGTACACTAGCTACATTTATCAAACTTGTTTAAACACCATAGTAAGTAGTCTCTTGACTAAATCGATTCACATCTTTCTCTAGCCTAGCTATTTAATGCTGCCTTTCTCTTTAGACATCCATCTCGTAATAACATGTTTGATTTGGAGCAATTCTGATATGAGTGACTTCCTAATAAGTTTCTCAAGAAGTGTAAGAGTGAGGATAAAAGGCCTCTCTCTTAATATGGTGTGATTTGATGACGAAAGAAGCAGAAGCTTGTAGGCATGTAACATCCCAAACGTTGATAAAGGAAGGGAATAGATAGAGTTCGGAAAGCAATTTTCAAACCGTCTTTCAACTTAATCATGTTGTTGCTTATAGCTTGTGCATTTATATGGATCATGAAAATAAACTTTGCTACTTTAAAAATTAGTTTAGAATATATGTATCTATTAAGTTAAAAGTTTGTTTTATTCAAAAGATTATTTGTAGGAAGTTCGAGAGACGGAACTGTTGATTTGGGTAAGCAACGTGTTACTTTGGCAAAGTCTTGAATATTAATCGAAATTGGACTAATATGACCCTTAAAATGATGCACTTTAATATTTTTTCTATTGTAAAATATAAGTTGTTTAAGATAGTTGTAAAAATATACTTTCGATAATCAAATTTATAATTGTATTTAATTAAATTGTTTCATATTGAAATATTTAAAATAAAATCATTTCATTATTGCTTTCTTATTTTATTTAATTAGAAATATTAAAAGATAAAGATAAATAAATTTATATCATTTTTATTTTTCTTACTTTATTGAGGATGTTACACATGACTTTTCATAGAGATTATTTATCATTTATAAGCCATTTAATGAAAGTTCGGTTTTAGTTTAGGTGATAAACATCTTTGAAAATTTGTTTTGGCATTGTGCAAATTAAAATCTACAATGGCATTGTCAAATGTTAAATGTTTGAGAAAGAATTTAATTTAATTTGGTGCTTTAGAAGTGGACGACGGTAAACACAAAGGCGAAGATGGTTGCTCGAAGTCTTTAAAGAGTGAGGCTCTTTTCAAGAATGGCTATCAATGTGTGAAATTGTTGCGAAGAAAGAAAGTCCTTTGTCACCTTGGTCACAAACCAACATGTGGAAATAGAGCAGGTTTCCAATTCAAATCTTAAGAACCGAAAATTTATTTTCGGGAGAGCCACCTTCTATATGAATTTGATAGAATTTAAATCTGATTAGTCGAATTTTTGATAAATAACTTATAAAAACTAATAGACAGATAAGAGAAAAAAATACCAATTGTCGATTTTGATCAAATCTAATTAAGGAAACTTTACCAAGGGTTAGTGTAGTTGACTATGATGAATGTCATTATCATATCACATTCACAAGATGAGCCAACTCTCATGAAAGACCTCATGCAGGAATATAAAAGACCATCAAACTTATTAAGAATTTTTTGAAGTAAGAATACATAGCATAGCACCCATCAAACGGCAAAAATTAAGAATCAAACACAAATGACAATTAGCGTGGGCGTAAGTTGCCAACCCTCATTGGCGAATCAATGTAGTCGTTTTGGCGTCTTCCGGTGGTAAGGGGTTTGGAGAGGTGGTATTGTATTATGTGTTCAAATTCTTACGGGGAAATCTTATATTTATAAATTCTTACAAACTATAATAAGGAGGTATTGGATTAGGATTTTAAAAGACTTTTTTGAGATAAAAAATACTACAGATTTTAAATGACATTTTAGAATTGGAGAGACTTTATAGACTTTTTTAAAAGACTTTTTTTACAATCAAGATTTCATAGGATTGGATTTTAAAGGATTTTAATAGAATTCATAAGATTTGAAAGGACAATATGGATTTATAAGATTTTAAAAAACCATATGAATTTTTAACAAACATTCAAAATTACAAGAGTCAATATAAAAGGAAAAGGTTATACTTACAACCTATTTTTGTTTACAATATTTTACAATCATATCTTAACTGTTGATTTCTATCAATCAACGGTTATCATTCATTGCAAATTAAATATTATTAATAAGTTTGACTTGCGAAAATAATAACCATTAATTGACGAAAATCAACGGTTAAGATATGGTTGTAAAAGGTTGTAGACAAAAATAGGTTGTAAGTATAATCTTCCCCATAAAAAAATAACAAAGAAATACAATGAAATTAATAAAAAAAGTAAAACCAAATATAATTTTCTCAATCAGTAAAACATAATGGGGAAGGATATACTTACCAAAAAAAAAGTTTACAACCTTTACAACTAACTTAATCACCATTGATTTCCATCAATCCTCAAAAGTATGCTTTTTTTTTTAGTTTTGACGAAGCTCCCATGGCGGAACCCAATTTCGAGCCGTCAACCTACCAAAGTAAGAAGAAAACACTGCAATAGAAGAATCTCAAGAAATTCTAGGGGTTGGGGTGAGATTGTGAGAGAGGCATCTTATTTATATTTTTCACAAAAAAGTCTCACGAAATCCACACCAATAGAAAATCCATTAAAATCTTCGGATTTTTGAATACCACGAGATTGTGATTCCATTGTTTAAAATCCTGATTGAATACCAACGAATTTGGACGGATTCTAAAATAATCCTTTAAAATCCTAATCGAATATCACATGATTTTTTTTCAATCCATTAAAATCCTAATCGAATACCAACGGATTTTTTTGTCCAAAAACAATCCATTAAAATCCTTTGAAATCTCAATCCAATACACTCCTACGAATGATCGGTCATACTTTAATTAAGAGTGTATGACATGTCATACTTCATAGTGTAATTTGTAAAACAAATTTGTAAACGGATCTTTCTCCTTCTTATTTATATAAAAGGTTCAGTGTTTGTATTTTAAAAAATATAAAATTATATTATTTTATGTGAGAGAAAGACATAAACAATAAAAATTACGAGGAAAAAATGAGTGATTTTTTTAAAAAAAAATTAGAATATATCATTTTCTGATCTAAAATGACACAATTCTATGTCTTTTAAATAGACAAAATTTATTTTTCCTTGTAATCATATTAGTTGTTTAGTTGTATAGGTGGTATACTTTAGTGGTGGTAAGTGGATCTGTCCCCCCTAAAATAAAAGTGGGAAAAAAACAGCACGTGAGTCACGTGACCTTTGCATTATGCGCTTTTAAGGATGTTTGTACATTTGTTTTTCTTTCTCATTTACACTATTGAACTATGAATTCCGTTCATTTTGTTTCAGCGGCGATCGTCTCACCTCATTCCAACCCCAAACTTGTTTCCTTCTCCAAATCCAAAACGGAAACTTACAGTCTCAAATACTCCTTTCGCCTTCCTAAGCTCCGAGTTTCAGCCCTCAAGAATCGGTTTCCCGAGTCAGAGAATCGTAATTTCGCAGATGAAGGAACAAAACTTTCATTTGATGAAAAGGGTGGTGGAGAATTTGATTTGGGATGGTTGCCTGCTTTTCCTCATGTTCTTGTTGCGTCAATGTCCAATTTTATATTTGGGTATCATATTGGGTCAGTATCTCATTCTATTTCTGTGTTTGTTTTACTTCCTCGCAAGTTAGATTTTGTAGAAGGAATTGCTGCGGTGACTTGTTCTCATGGAAAGGTGCCATTTTTCTATTGGGGAAGTGAGGAGTTAAGTAGAAGTTTATACTTTTACGAATTTATGACAGGGTGCATTTCATATGCTGAGAATTTTATGTAACAGATCACAAGATTAAGTATCCAACTTAAAAAAAAAGAAGCAGTTTAATATGATCAATTGTCAGTCTAATACATTTTTATATCATCCTTTAATATCAAACTCTTTTTGTGATGTAGCAACACATGATTTGATGATTTTTTTTTTTTTAAATAAAATAGAATAAAATAAATTATATTGGCAGTTGATTAGAAATAAACAGTTAAAAAGTTGTAGTTGAAGTTTAATAAAGCTGGATGAGTGTATTCCATTGAGCTTGTGAAAGTAAAACCCAGGATGATATTCCATTTCTTAAAGCAAGAATAGATGATTAGTGTTGTGACTTATGAGATTATTCTGAAGCCAATTATCTATGATTCTTTTATGTGAAACTGAGGCACAACTTGATGAACTTATAAAAACTAGGTGGTCATTTGGTTTTTGAATTTCTAGCCTGTTTGTGAATTATTTGAAACTGGATGCATATTCTGCAGAGTCATGAATGGTCCTATTGTTTCCATTGCCCGGGAGCTTGGTTTTGAGGGAAACTCATTCATTGAGGGACTTGTGGTCAGTATTTTTATTGCTGGTGCATTTATTGGGAGCATAAGCGCTGGTTCTTTGGTAGACAAACTTGGTTGTCGGTTCACATTTCAGATCGATTCTATACCCTTAATCCTTGGGGCAATAATAAGGTAGCGTACTTGGTTAGTGAAATTTATTGGAAGCATCCGTTTTTCTTGTGGATCTTGAGATTGTCTAGCTTTCATGTGAAGATTTTGAAAATGAATCCTCCCAACTGGCTTACTCGCATCAGAATTAAAGCTTCTTGACAGAAAAATCTTCTTATGATATGATTCTCATAACTGATTCATTTGCATGCTTTTTGGAATCCATATTTTTCTCTCCATGAACTGTTCTATGCTTAAAAAGCTAACTAGTTTTTAAGTGGGATTTAAATTTGATCCATTTACTGTGTAAAAATTTAGTATGTCATACTGTTCCATCTACTTAAAAATGCAATTAAAAGTTTTAACTAAAAGCAAAAAATCTGTCTTATTTAGTGCATGTTTGTTAAATGATATTTTTGTAATCTGTTTTACAGACACTCTTTTTGTTTTGTTTCATTTCCTCTTAGATTTACTTTTGTACATTTTTGTAAGAGTATTTTGAGCTTTGCAAGGACAATTACAGCATCTTTTTTCAAGATTTCACCAGATAGTGTTCCTAATTTTCTTTCACAATCATCTTTTTGAAAGGAGGCAACTTCAATACTTTGAAAGCCACTACCTCATTTATAGTTGTTGGCTTAATGCTTGCTTGACGTCTGTGAAAAGGTTCTTATGATAAGTGGGGGAAGATTGAAATTTTCCATGTCTGGCTAGCAAACTTTTGGTCCCAAAACATTGATTGGTATAAATTAATTGCACTGGTTTTCTATCCTTCTATTTGGTGTTTCATTTTGTCTTTTCCCACTGATTATGAATTTAGTGTTTTTTTTTTTTTTTTGAACCTGCCTTATACCCTGGGTTATAGAGAAAAAAGGCTTGTATTTTAATTTTAACTAAGATAATATCTATGACAATTTGTCCTTTGGCATGTATGTTCAATGATTGTTCAGTATTAAACATGTTTCTCATACTTAGACTTTAATTAGGTATCTTAAATGTCTGAACTTATTTCCAATGTGTTGAAAATAACTAGTGCATAATGTTTCTCTGCTGTAGTATTATTATCTGCTATTTCTAACTCTTTGTTCTGAAATATGCTTTTGTTATGCATAGATGATTTGTGATTGTAACATGATCGGCTTTACATTCCGGTTGATCATTAATACTTACATTGCCCACAGATTGCAAACACTTTGATTTGAGATTATTGTTGCTTTGAACTAGAGGATATTCTTAACTGTTCAAATTTGTGACAGTGCGAAAGCCTACACCTTGAACGAGATTCTTGGGGGAAGATTTCTTGTTGGTCTTGGTATAGGTGTGAATACCGTTCTTGTTCCAATATATATATCTGAGGTACTTGTTGATATCAACTTTATCTTTGTACATAATTATTTTCTTGTTCTCTAACTATACTGGGTTGACTTATCTGATCTCTACACTATATATGCCAAATCCATGTAATGTTTTCCAAATGTGGTGCTTATTTATCGACTATAATGCAAATAAAACAGGATAAGTTCTAATTGTTGTTAATTTTTACTGCAATCATACTTCAAGGGGTCCCTCCCCTGTAGAAAGTACAATCATGCTTCCAAATGAAATAGTTCTAACATGATATACTAATAGGAACTGGACCAGAAAATAATAGAAAACAGATAGAAAAAGATGAGCTTTTATTGAAATCACTCTTCTCCCTAATTCTGAATCAAGGTGATTGCAGAATCGAGAGGAGAGGATGCAAAGAATAAATAGAGATAATTAACTTTCCTAGCCTTGGGAAATTCAATAGTCCTGATTCTGGCTCTCCCTTCCAACCTCTATTCTCCAAACCAAAACTGATCTGTATTATATCTCTCCTATTATTTTTATCCGTCGTTACTCTTTCTAACTAACTAAATAGGGGGTCTGATACTTGCTGAAATTTGTTTGATACGTGGAGGAAAGAAATTTTAAGATAACAATAGCAAGTCCTTCTCACTGATGTCTTTTCACTGTCATACGTGGTGTAGGTTGCTCCAACAAAATATAGGGGTGCACTAGGGTCCTTATGTCAAATTGGCACTTGCCTTGGCATTATTGCTTCACTATTTCTTGGAATTCCTTCTGAGAATGATCCACATTGGTGAGTTTCTTTGTAATTTTTTTTCCTTGTAGACTCGTAGAATTCATATATATCTCACAATTCCTCCCTTGTGTTTGTATGGTAGACTGATCTAAATGAATGATTTTACTTGGAATGTAAAATATGTTGAATGTTAAACAAGGATGACAGATGTATTTGATGAATAATTTTTTAGGTTTCCTGAGCTTTTCCACTGAAATTGTCTATGGATGTGCTCTAATAAATATGTTTGTGTGTGTGAATTGTTGAAACTTTCTATGTTGTCGTCTTCTATTTTGTTGATGATCTGGCTATGATGCTTTGGTTTATATGTAATTACTTGAAGCACATCTTAATGCATTTTTATCTATGAAGCACTGGTGCTCCTAGGAAGGAGCTTTACATGTATTGGATATGTGCTATGATCCTACTTCAAGGTATGAGACTTGGAGTACCACATATGAAACATAAGGGTCTGGTGTGGAGTTTATATAGACTTTGGGCTCTCCTACCTCATGAGCTAGCTTTTGAGGTGAGGCTCTCCTAAGGTTCGTATCAATATGCAAGTCACATGACTATGACCAGACATTTGATACGTGTAATTTAGGTAATTATACTGCATTCTGTTAATGGGTACACCTTACTTATGATGTAGAAGTTGTGACACCTCTAGTCTCACAACACAAGTGAATACTATGTGGTTTACAAGGCCTATGAAGAGTAACTTGGCTTAAATATTTCGTATTAGTACGCATCCACTATCTAGCAAGTTGATTTGTCGCTGTAGCATATTTAGATTAGCTACCATAATCCTGTACTAATCATACTTATTAATCTCGGATAGCAGCGCGTAGCGGCTGACCCTCCAAACTGCTACAGCGCTATAGAGGGTAGTGCTACAAGTGTACAACGCTACTGTGCAAAGTGTACCTAAGTGATACACTAAATTGTACTCCACAAATATAAAACTTAAAATATGAAAATGTGACATAAAAAACAAATTTGAAGGATCTCGAACTCAAACATAAATGATTTCAAACATTAAAATTCAAATCATAAGCAAATTAAAAGAATTAAAGTCTCAAATAATGTAACACAACAAAATAAAGTGGAAAAATTAGTCAAAATTCAAACTGCCACTTAAATGAAATGTCAAAATCAAAAAACTAAAGGAACTAATCATAATTGAAATCATGAATATCCAAATCATCATCTTTACTTTCACTTGTATCTAAGTTGTAAATCTCTTCCTTCTACGATGTTTTTGCAGAAACTACTGTAGCGGTGCAATAGCGGCTGCTACATCCGCTACACTTCGCCTGACCATTGCAGCGCGGTCTGTGGCGGTCGGCTGCTGCACCGCAACGCAACTCCGCTATAGCGCGCTAAAGCAGGGCCATTCACAAGTATGGTACTGATTGATTTGAGAGTCACTTGTCAGCCTTAGTAGCATTATTTCAATCGTGTAACAATCTTATACTTTGTTCTGTGTGGTGGAAAATAAAATGAGAGGAACGTACTTGCTGCTGGCAAGGATGGGAGTGAAATAAACATATACATTGTCAATTACCAACTGTTCCTCACTCATAGTAGTTAATTGCGCCTCGAGCCGCGACGTATGGGTGTTGCGGTGCCTCGCCGCAAGAAACCACGCAACACCGCGCCGCACCAGAACGCAATAGCGCCATATTGCTGTCATAAGGCAAAATGTCAATTTTGTCCAAAATTTAAATGTGTAATAGAAAAAAAAATGTAAGGGTTTTTTAGTCTATCTGCGTCTCTCTCTGTCACTTCTGTTATATTTGCCTTTAAAAAATATTTCTTTTTGTCATTATTTCTGTCATATATTTATTCCGCTATTTTCGCAACCACAACCCGCTATAGCACTATAACGTTTTTTGGGGTTGGCTGCAGCCAATGTTGTTAAAACGTAGAGTCTACGTAGAAACGGTAGGGGTGAGCAAAAACGTAAAATCGTGAAACGTAAACGAAACGTAAGAGTTTATTACTTACTAAAAAATATATCCAACATATATATATATATATATATATATATATATATATATATATATATCCAAAATACATGAATACATAAGTCATCACAAATTTAAGTTTAAACACTAAAGAAAATAAAATAAAAAATGGTGGAAGTAGGATAATTTAAATCTAATGTGTTAATTATTACAGCAATTGCAATTAACAGATATTATGAAAAAAAGAAAATCTACAATGCTTCGATTAATTAAGTTAAAGTGTGTTTAAAGCCAAATTAAAAAAATGATTTAGACTTCAAGTTGCGATTGCAGATGACAACAACACAAATTATGCGATAGCTTAGGCCCAAGATAAAAACCTAATTCCATTCAGACACTCAGTCATTAGTTTCAAATTTAAAAAAAAAATGGTTAAATGAATACCGAGTTGACACTACGTTTCAACCGAGTTTACGAGTTGACACTACGTTTCAACCGTTTCGACCCAAAACCCGTTTCAACTACCGTTTCGACACGTTTTTTGTCATACAAACGTACGTTTCCACGTTTCGACACTACGTTTTTACAACACTGGCTGCAGCATGCCGCAATCTATATTTGATTACTTTGTTCTCACTATTGCTCTCACTTTCACCTGTACTAATCACAATTCAATTAAAAGGGTGAAATTGGTTAGAAATGACGGGGTTGATTACGCAGATCATTACGTTATGGCGGCTAATACACAGCAATGGAGAGAACATGTAATAAATTAGATAGTGCATTGTTTTGTTTTCATTATTTGACTGCAATCCTTTTTGGTTTAGGGTCCTTGGGGTTGGTTGACCATGGGAAACTGGTCAAAGCCTACTTTGTATTTATTTTTCTTTTGATTAAAAAGAAATTAATTAATAGATAATGCCCTATTTCATTGATATGTATACGGGATAGGATAAAATGCCTACTTTTTTATATGCCTACTCTATCTACTCCTTTCCAATACCGTTACATCATAATCTTAAGAGGAGAGAGAAAGGATAAATGTTTAGTTGAGATTCTGATCTAACGGTGTTGGAAATGAGTAGGTAAAGTGGCATAAAAAAATGTAGGCACAATATCCAAACCCTATTGTTATTTCTTATTTAGCATCTTTGAGCAATAAAATTGTTGTTGTGTATGTTTATGGACTTTGAATTTTTTATTTTATTTTTATTTTTTGATATTTTTATATGGAATGTCTTAAGGAAGATATTCAACAAGATGAGGAAAAAAAACCTTCCCCAAAAATGTGAGAGCCTCATCACTTCCCCAGTACGAGAAGCTACGAAAATCTATAATGCACAGCACATACACAGAACACGACACGACACTCTGACACGTTAATTCTAAAAAATGTTAGATTTCGACACATTATGACATGTTTTGATATTAAATAATATTTTTAATTTTCGTAGTGTATATTATATTTAATATTCAATAATCTAACAAAAAAATGAAGGTTAACTTATAATACCCATCAATTTTGCAAAGAAATATAAGATATCCCAAATATTTATATTGAACTCGATAAAATGGTAATGATAATCTAACGAATCTAATAGTTGGAACTAAAAACGTAACGCAACGCAACCTTTGAACCCTTTTTTGAGTCTCTACAATGCGTGTTGGAGTGTCGGATACGATATGTCAGGTTTTTTGAAGTGTCGGTGCATCATAGACGAAAATTGCTTTTGTGTATGTTTATGGACTTTCAAATTTTGTTATTGTTTTTGGTATGTTAATATGGGATGTTTAAAGGAAGATTCAACGAGACTTGAAAATAAACCTTCCTTGAGAATGTGAGAACATCGTTGATTCCATTGGCTGAAGGTTTAATAATCTGTATTTTGACTTTCAGTTTTAGTTTTGTGTGAGAATGTTCTTTAATGACTGACTTAAACCTAGCATTTTTCTTTGTGTGATGATCTCTTTCTTTTCTTTTGTTTTAATACATGCAAATGTATATTGTTTTAGTAATTTATTTCATATAGATGTTTATTTGCAGTATTGTATCTTTTTCCTCTTCAAGAACAACAACTTTCCGTATTTGTATTGTGTCATACGTGTGTCTTTTCTCTTGGTCATTTTTTCATGGATTAGTCTTAAAATGAAAACTTCCCAGAATGTGGCTTATTTCCATACTTCCTGACAATTCAAATTGGACTTCATGGATGTAGAGCCACAGCCATAGGCTTTTAGCCTTATTTTGAATTTTTCAAAAAAAACTACGGTAAAATAATGTTTCGTAATAATGGCCTTTAGACATGTTACGCATCAAGGGCTTCACATTTACTCCCAGTGCAGAAACATTCCTAAATGTGGCTAAGGAAGATTTACATCTTCATTCGTATTGATTAGCAATTGCTAGCTTCCATTTATAAAATATTGGATTGATATCAATTAGTCCCAATTAGTATCAATAAGCATTTGTTAGCTTCCATTAATAAACTATTGGTATCAATAGATTAGTATCAATTAGTCCAGATTAGTATAAAATATTTTTAGTATTTTAAATCCTTGTAATCTGTTGTTATAAAAGACATGAAGGATGTATGGAATAACCAAGTAATTACCTTCTTCCAATCTTTCTCTCCTCCTCTCGATCTCTTCCCTCTGGAATTCTGCCTTTCTATAGTTACCCTTAACATCTTGATTTCAATACTGTATCCAATTTGAACTTAAAACTGTTATAGAAATACACTTTATAATGTTCACTGAAATCTAACCTGCACTTATCTCATAAATTCATATGGGAGCAATTTGAGTCTCTTTTGATTGTGATTTTTCCATCATTTGTATATTGTAGTCTTTAAAATAGAAAATTATTTTCCAAATAATGCCTACATGGCACCAACAAATACATATTTCAGGTGGAGGACAATGCTTTATATTGCAAGCATCCCCGGTTTTGTTGTTGCACTTGGTATGCAATTTGCTGTTGATAGTCCGCGCTGGCTTTGCAAGGTAGGATTTGTTGTTTTCGTATCTGACAATTTATAAGCTTTTCCACTGTTTATATAAAGCTTTAATATTTCTGCTCAGGTTGGGAGAATAAATGATGCTAAAACAGTAGTACGTGAGCTTTGGGGAGCATCTGAAGTTGAGAGTGCAATTGAAGAATTTCAGTCTGTCAGCAAGAATGATGGTAATGATTTGGACAGCCGATGGTCAGAGATCTTGGAGGAGCCACATTCTAGAGGTTGTGTCAAGGTGGTTTGACTGTTACTTTTAGACAGCATTCTGTGCATGGAAACTATTCTTTTCCCTATCCTAATATAGATTGAATAACAGGTCAGGAGAAATTTAAGCACGTTGCAGTAATAGTTTCTGCCCCGAGATGTGATTGAATTTAGCTTCATGAAATACAATTTTCTTCTTTCATAAACAAGTACACATCTATAATCATTACTTGCATATGGCACTTGAAGCATAAAGTTCTTAGTGGATTATCTTGTATGATTGCAGTTGCCTTTATTGGAGGTACTCTTTTTGTGCTTCAGCAGTTTGCAGGCATAAATGGAGTCCTTTATTTTTCATCATTGACCTTTCAAGATGTTGGAGTTCAAAACAGTGCTTTCGCAAGCTTGTTTGTTGGGCTTACTAACTTTGCAGGTTTGCAGCCTGCACTGTATTTCTTTTTTATTTTAATATATATTTCTTCTTGGAATCAGATTCTGATTGCTGTGAACTTTTGTTTTTTCTTCAGGTGCAGTTTGTGCTTTATACTTAATCGACAGGGAAGGGAGACAGAAACTTCTAATAGGAAGTTACTTAGGAATGGTGAGTGCGTACAAGATGTCCATAACTTCTTTATAGGTAATTTTATGTAAACTAAAGCACATCCAGTCATCCATTCACAAGGATGCGACGATGCGTTGCTACAGGCACATGTGCACTGATATACCGCTATTACTAATATTTATGCTCCTAGGAAGGGGATAGGAAGTAGAGGATCAACACAAGTGGGTAATGAGTAATGAGGACAAATGGGAAACTAAGAAGAATATTCATGCTGAGGAGCATAACTGAATTCAGATGTGGCAAGAGGAGAGAAAAGAAGCCATGGATTGAGTGAGGGTCTGTCTGTCTCAGTGGGAGATTAAATTTGATGGGGAAAGGAGAGGTTTGGCAAGATTTTGGTGAGGAAAGGATTGGGAGTAGACCCTCAAAGTTCTGCACTGTTTCTTTTTTTTTTTATGTGTTATTTAGTAGTAGTAAAGCTATTCCTTTGTAATTGAAAGGTCACAACTTCGAGTGCGGAAACTAGCCTCTTTGTCAATATGCAAGGGTAACACTGCATATAAAAATTGCTCTTACCTCTACCCTTGTTAGTCGAGGTTTAATGTGGAGTTGTGTTTTATTTCACTTTTATTCTGTATATCTTCACCTTCCTTCATTGTTGATTTGTCCACCATATCAGTAGTAGACGAAGAGATACAATGTTAATATAAATAAAATAGATCTATGCTTTAAGTTCCTATTACGTGCGCACAGGCATGCACTGAATTCGTTCAGATCTTGTTCCTAGTTCAGACTAGCCTTCTCTCACTGGATTATTACTCATGACTTTTACTTCTGTTTCTTTGTAGGCAATTTCAATTATTCTTGTGGTCTGTTCTGTCATTTTTCCATTGGATGAACAACCAAGCAACAACTTATCAATACTAGGAACTATCATGTAAGCATCTACTTGCTGCTGCTCTTAGAATCTAGTGAAATTGGCCTTCTCCAAGAGCAACCTAGCCTTTTCTGCCCCCCACATCCCCATTTCTGAATAAATATGTCCATTTGCTTGGTTATCACTTATTTGCAGAAAGTGGAGTTTTAAACTTACTGGACTTGGTTAAATAACTGTATATGATTGGAATAGTTAACTTACATCTAATTGGATTTACATGGTACCTTCGTTGTGCTGTGTAGCATGATTCTATCTATTTTCTGGCCTGCATGGCATCTCCTGTGGTTGAATTTGGAATCATAAAAAAACAAATGGGTTGGAAAACTTGGAAAATGTTTTTCTTCTCCCTCGATCTGTTCTTGTTTTTTCTTTTTTGGTTCATCGACCGCCGACCCCAACTACCTTCGAATAAAAATGATGTTGATGTTGAAAAACTTAAAAAATGGGGGCAAAGATGGGTTTTTGTCCCTGAGCACCATACCGGGCACGACAACTGCGATTTTCCATGATATTAGCTGCGATAGCAGATGCTATGCGAAAACAATGGGATTGACTTACTATTGTAGCCACCTATGCGACAGCAACATAGCGCATGATTGACTACCCTGTTTGCTATTGAAATAATATCTTACTGTTTCTAACTCAATAACAATGTGCGATGCGACAACATTTCATTAACATGACCATAAATGATGACGAAGATGTTCTGAGATAGTTTCCAATATTTCATATTTTCTGGAATATTGGCACATGGGTGATGCATTTTCGGTTTATACAATTTTACAGGTATATATTCTCTTTCGCAATTGGAGCTGGCCCTGTAACTGGCATCATTATACCAGAGCTTTGCAGCTCCAGGACTCGAGGGAAGATCATGGGGTTCAGTTTTTCTACCCATTGGGTGGGTATTAAAACATATTTTCAGTTGGTAGTTGCGTGTTGTGCTTGAAGCTGCATGTGTGATCCCCTCTCCCCCGGTTTGGTGCTCTTTTAAAGTAGTTTTTATATCTTTTATTCATACTAGTTAGGTATGAATATAAGCTTATTTGTATAGTAAGACATTCTTCATCATGTTGGTGTTCAATTTAAAGTAAACTACTATTTTTTAAAAATTTACCTTTATATCCAGGTTTGCAACTTTGTGGTGGGATTATTCTTCCTTGAGTTGGTGGAGAAATTTGGAGTTGCACCAGTATATGCCAGCTTTGGAGCAGTTTCCCTGTTAGCCGCAGCATTTGCCTATAAATTCATAGTAGAAACTAAGGGTCGCTCTTTAGAAGAAATTGAACGGTCCTTAAACCAGCAAGCTTGAGCCACTGATGAATGTTATAATATACTGATCCATGTATACCGGACATGGTTGAAAGGTGTGGGTGTTTGACAATGATTTTGTTCTCTCATTGATATATATATATATATATATATATATATATATATATATATATATATGGGTGAGGATCATTTTACACCAGTGTAAGTTACACTCTCAATCTTATCCATTGATTCTATTTATATCTAACGGCTTAAATTTTTTAGTAATATGAGTCATTGGATACAAGTGGATCAATACTTAAGATTGAGTGTAAGACTTCTAACTCTTACACTGGTGTAAGAATATCTATATATATATATATATATATATATATATATATATATATATATATATATATCAACTTGCTAATGAAGTTTTTAATTAGTTGATCCTTCAATGTTTCACTAATGCTGCTGTTTCATACAGCGATGTTGCATTGTTTTTTTTATTTTATAATTGTCATCGGAAAAAAAAAAAGTAAAAAAGAATATACCATCAGAGACTTGATGATCCACATTCCTTATATATTTGGAATTTCACTTATTTCTGCAGCTATTTATTTTTCCACTTGAAGTGGCTCGAGGTGAGAAGTAGTTTCTACAAAATGGAAGAGGAAGATGTTGGTGACTCTGAGCTTAACACTATTGGATGAGGGAGTTGACAGTGTTGATTATTTAGCTGTTGCACATGACAAGGGGCCAGCAAAAAAAGAAGTTGATGATATTTGTAATATTCTCATTTGGATTATTTATCAGGTTGTTGATGCTTTTTGAGGATGATGACAATTTATGCAATTTTAGTTGAGATTTAGGGACTTTGGTGAATGTTATTTTTTTTCATTTTAATTGTTTGTCCATTTTAGTACTTGTATAGGAATTATATAGATTACTTGTCTGTTTTAGGTTTTTTTGTTTTTAATTTTTTTTCAAAAAAATTCTCAATTTTTTTGTGTTTTTTTTTTAAAAAAAAATTCAAATTTTGAATGTTGTGTCGCGTCGACCTTTGACACGCAATGGGTGGGGTTTGTGTTTTTGACTCGTCAACAACTACGTGTTGTGTATGGGTCGTGTTGTTTCATGTACAAGTTGAATGTGTGTCGTGTCATATTAATCCGTTTTGCCACCACTAAATGACACCTTATACTTTGGCATTATTTCATGAATAATATTTAAGGCATTTACTTTTTTTTGTTTTATTTGTCTCTATTTACTTTATTGTTTTTTTACGGACAAGGGCCCTTGAAATAATCAAGGTGTATCTTAAGGATCTATGATGAAATCATGATCATGAAGATTTGAGTACATTATTTGATTATTTGCTAAACAGTGTTCCTAGTGGAGAGTTACTGAGAAAATGCATTGGTTAACTTGATTAGATTAGTACCTGCGATATGATGTACGGACCTTATGGATGGAAACATGAAAATACCTTAATCAATGTTGTGGGTAGATGCTTACATACTTACCCACGGCCTGAGAAGATTCAAGGTAGCACATTTTTTGTTTTACCTTTATTTCAAAAGAGTTTATGGGAAACAAAGTTTGGGTTTACAATGGGAAGAGTTATTTTAGGAGTGAAATAAATAATCAAATATTCAATAAAAAATAACAATTTAAATGTTAACAAAAAAGGATATATTTGATAAACACCATAAAAATTAAAAAATGGAGTGGCTTTACCTTGGAGTCCACAAAGATGTTAGTATAGATGTGCTAGAAACAATTTCATAGTTAGATGACACCTTATACTTTGACATTATTTCATGAATAATATTTAGAGCATTTACTTTTTTTATTTTATGTGTCTATTTATTTTATTATTGTTTTTGGATAAAGACCCTTGAAATAATCAAGGTGTATCATAAGGATCTATGATGATATCATGATCATGAAGACTCAAATACATTATTTTAAGTTTGGCATCATCAAAAAGGGAGAGATTGTAGATACAATGTATGTTTTGATGATTACAAAGTGGCAACAACAAAAAGAGAAGAGTATTAATCAAGAGCAAAAAGCATCAACCACATGTGGATATTGAAGATGTATGATGTAGTCACACAAGAAGAGTAATAACATATCAAAGTAACAAGATCGTTGGATCAAGAGCAACAAGGAATAATTAGAAGAGCAACACCAAGATCAAAGACAACAAACCATTTATACAAAAAAAAAAAACAAAAAAAGACAACAAACCATAGACAATAGCTAAGAGAAGCTCAATATCATAACCATGATGAAAAATGATCAAAACCAACAAAGTGTCAAGCATTGTCATATCCAACAAGTCAAAGCATCAAGCTCAAGTAAAAATTCAAGACAAGGGGCATGAAGCTAAGTATAAAATTATATTTAGAATACATCTTTAGGACTTAGAATATATGTGAGGGTATATGGTAGATTGCATTGCATGAGCTCAAAGTTTTTCTCAAAATAAACGTGTTTTTTTGAATTGTATAATCATAACCTTTATATACTTAAAAGAAATTTGAAGAACCAATGGAAAAGATCCTTGACATGTTTTATAACTTCAAAACAAATTTATCAAGTCAAAATCTTTCATAAAAAGTGGTTGGAAGCAAGATAGAACACAGTTGAACTTAGAATTTACTGAATAATTTTTATACTTCATTCCATACAATTTTTCGTATCCAAGATGATAGATTTAGATCTTGTGTTCTCATAAAAGTTGTATATCTTTATTTTATCTTTCCAACGACACGAAGATCACATCAATTCGACAAGTATAACTCAAGTTATGCCCAAAATACGAAACAATGTTCTTGTTGTCAGGTTGGGAATCGATTACCATTTGAGGTAATCGATTACCCACCATTTGGTAATCGATTACCACTGTGACAAAATGCATATAATGGCTATAAACGACTAGTTTTAAATGGAAACACTATATATGCATTCCCAATGACTCTAAAACTGATTGGGCATCATTCCTACACATATTAAGCATACTTTGAGAGCTTCTACACTATCATTTGCATATTCTTTCATATCTTTTAAAGATCAAAAATATATGAGCTCATCTTGAAAATTCATATACACATAGTGCTTCAAGTTGTATATCCACACTTTGAGAGTGTATATTCATTTCCAAATATTTCTCTCCTTGTGTTCTTGAGTTGAAAGGATTGTGAGACCCATTGTTTGAGAGATAGCCAAATACCTAAGTAAATTTGGAGTGAATTGTAAGGTTGCCAAGTACCCGTAAACTTAGAGATTATAAGATATCCAAGAACCCGAAGTCTTGGAAGATTATAAAGGTTTGTCAAACACCCGTGAAGCTTGACCATTAGTGAAAGAGTTGATCAAGCGGCTTCAGCCTGTACGTAGGTCACAAGTGGTGGTGACCGAACCATGATATATTATGTTTTGCAATTCTCTAAACTCTTTATTTCTAGCATTTTAATTGCTTCTTTGATATCTTGTATGTGCTAGAATAAGTTCTATAATTATGATATATTATATATTATGGATTGTTGGAATGTATTGATTAGCTTTCCATATATCAAAGTTTGCTTGAAATGATTATTTAGAAACTAGAAGGGGCCTTTTGCGAAAATCTTGTAATACTCAATTCACCCCCCTTTTGAGTATGAAAGTCACATTCCTAAGACATTGCAGCACAAAGACAAACACAAATAATCAGCAAAAGTTGATAATCCTAATAAAAAATAAATGGATAACTAAATATAAAAGATGTAATAATAAGTTATCAATAATCATAATCAACTCAAAATCAATCAAGGCATTTTATTTAGAATAATCATATCTCAATAAATCAGCATAAGTAACTCAATGATATTTTAATAAAGATAATCATCAACTAACATATTCAGTACTACATTATTTAAATTCAAAGATTAAAATGAGCATCCTAATTTTTTTTAGGACTCAAAAAGTATTTTACTCTTATTTTATATTAGATTTATATTAGTGCCCATTGTCCGAGTTGTAAAATGTATTAAATTAAAAACTTGAATTATGAAATAAGATTTTATTGAATTTTGATATAAAAATATAAAGTAAAGTATTTTTTGGGTCCTCAACCAGTATTACGGGAGCAATTAATCCCTTAGGAAACAAAAGTCGACACCTAGTCTTTCTGAAATTCAAAATAGACCATTGTTAGTTCTTTTGAGAGACTAACGTGAGTCTTCTTCGAACTTCAGAGGTCCACAATTTTAACTAATTAGGTCTATTTTAAATTTCAGAAAGATCACAAATCGATTTTTTTTTACTAAGAAATTAAACCGGGCCCATAATTTTTGTTTAGGATGCAGAAGGTACTTTTCTCGAAAATATAATTAAAGATTAACTTCAACTATCTCTTGACAGAATAGGGTTAATTTTAATAAAAAAAATTATTATTACATTATTGTTGATCTTATATCACGCATATATAAGAAGTAACTCAAGTGATAGGTAAACTTGAATTCAAATAATTAAATTACTTTTGCAATGCTGCTATATAGTACCCTTACCTTAAAGATTGTTATTAACTATTAACTATCATAAGCACAAAGCAAGGCGAAAAGGGTATTGCTTTCAATATATTAAGAACGGGAGAAGGTTTAATGAAATAAATATAGAAAAGAAAGAATACTTTTTATTTTCCTACAGTATATATTTAAATAGAAAAATATTTATGTAGTTACTACATATAAGTTATCTGCATTTATTCTCAAAACGACATCATTTGAAATGGAAAAATTAAAAAATTATAATTATAAAGACTATAATAATCCTGAAATAAATTAAAATTACAAAAATATCATGATTTCCATCCCAAAACGACATCGTATTGAGTTTACTGCAGATAAGTTATCTGTAGTGATCGCAGAAAAAACGAACCCATATTTAAAAGTGATTTTTCATCAACCATACCTAAATAATAATCCTGAAATAAATTAAAATTACAAAAATATCATGATTTCCGTCCCAAAACGACGTCGTATTGAGTTTACTGCAGATAACTTATCTGTAGTGATCGCAGAAAAAACGAACCCATATTTAAAAGTGATTTTTCATCAACCATACCTAAATAATAATTTCGCCAATTTTTTTTTTCACCACCACAAAAATAATAAATAACCTCACTACAAACTTTCTTAATTCAAATTTTACTGCAAAGAAAACCAAGTTTGAATAACTAAGTTAATGTAAAATTAAAAGTTTTCAAAACAAAATTAAAGCACACTATCTGACAAAAACTGAAGACTCACCAACATAGAAAAGTAAGACATTTTTTATTTTATTTTTGGAATGAAAATATAATCCTCCACCAACATAAGATTTACCAGAGCCATATATATTCTTAATTAAAAGGAAAATTTCCCACGTTTACTACTCAATAACCAAAATATAATCTATGCTAACACAGAAGGTTAAAAAAAAAAAAAACACAGGAAGAGAACCTTGTTGTACCAGTAAAATTTTCAGCAATTAGTCACCGATTGATAAAGATTGATTGAATTCTAATTGAAAAGAAGAATGATGATTCGATTGAAGCCTAATTCAGTCCAAACCATTAGCTGGCCTTTGTACAAAAGTGAATTGGCCAATTTGAACATGCAACCAAACTAGTACATAACATCATTGTCTGCCACAAAATTTTTGGACAAGTAATATAACTTCATAGCAAAAAAATTCCCCATATTAGAAGTCCTATCCCCATTAAAAGGCTTCTAATTCTCAATCCACATCTGTGGATATTGCAGGCAGAAGAATATGAATTTGTGGAATTCATTGATATTGCCGTGACATTAGAAAATGTGCCGTTTTTGCCAAGGCTGCACAACATTTACACAAACCAATCTCTTGTAAGCAAAAACAATGACACAAAAACACATGGTTAACAAAATGAAGCAAAGAGGCAAATAAATGTACTACCTTCCCGGAAATTTACATGAACCATGACCTGCAGTCATTAAAAAAATGTCCTTAGTTATTACTAGAAGAAATCATCAATAGAACTACAAAATCTGATA